TCTTTACAAACGAATCTTAACGCTTCATACTGATGACTATTCTGAAACAGATTAGATTACCTCATATTAAAATATCCCAAACATTAAGATTGTTCATCAAAAGATTTAGTTGCAATGTTAATGAATGATCCGAAGAAGAATGCTTTCGATTTCAACTTTTGAATTTATAATCTCCCTGAGAATCGCTTTCCATACTCTATGGAGGCTTCATCGTAAGTATATAAAATGCTAATCGAAAAAACGATGTTGGCAATGCTGAGAAATGGAAAATTTAACTGATAGTGAATCAGTGAAAAGAATTTTTTGGTTTTGCTAAATTTTGGAGAAATTTTGACCACTCACGATCATCTCTCCGATGTCATCGTTCATAGTATCACAAGGACTCTCGCCTTGTTGGCCGATTAGCACTTCTAGCTCCATAGCAGTGGTCAGATTCACCAGAGTGACCACTCGGCCACCGTAATTGTTGATCGCTTGATGCGGAAGATGACCCCCTGAGCCACCGTATGCTTCGATTCTTAAATACTTGAGCGGTAAGCTGGTAACATAAGCTGACTACGATGTAATAAAAACCAAAAAAGTTCAGCGCTCCCAGATGTTAAGGGTGGCAAAATTCCTTCCAAATGCTAGAAGATAAAACGCAATTTACCTGTATTCAGCAGTCTTTGGTGCTAGCCATTTCTGGAATCCATCCTTTCGCCCACTGGCTAGCACAGCGTGAGTATTACTGGAAAAAATTTTGTGACTTTGCAGTTTTCTATACGAGAGCAGTTGTATATTTAACATGACCAACCAAACAAGCTATCGTTGGGAGCGCTAAAAACTGCGCAAAACCACTCAGTTGAACACAGATAGTCTTTGCGATAGCTTAGTTGGTAAATTGCTCGACCGGTAACATATCATGCATTTCTGCTGATTCATTGAGAAAAAATTTGCTTGAAACCGAACAGCCTACTGATGTCATTAATATTATTGAGCCTAAGCCTTGGATTATATCTCATCCTGGTTATATCTCATCGTATGATCATATGAGCAAGGCTATGACTTGGATTGCATTTCCTCGTCTATTCATATAGGCAACTGAAGAACAATAGTTTATGAAAATAATAGATCACTTTTTACAGTATCACTGTCAACTTTTCGCACTATATTCATAGCAATAGTACCCATTTGATGGTAAACTCATATCGCATCAAATGAGATTTTGTCTAGTCAATAAGATGTCTGCTACAGACCGATAGGTTCTTAAGAACAACAATATGGATAAGATGATTTTCTCATCGAGTGAGAAATCAGCTCACGTATGATTGTAGAATTTCGCACAGTCAGTGGTTGACGGTGCTTGATTTCCAGATTGACCACAGCTAGTGATATTGTAAACGAATGGAATGTACTGACTACGCCATGCAACCTCTGTAATCAAATATCAGTTCAAGAAACAATCAAATCATCCAATTCAAATCCATAAATAATCCAAACTATTTCACGTACACTAAATCTCCAAAACTAAGTCCACCGAGCAATTTAATTGACTTTTTTTTCTTCACTGAATAAGAATCGTACGTTTAATCCTTTGTGGGCGCATAAATAAAACTTCGACATTAAATTTTAAAGTTACTAAATTTGAAGGCTGTTATATCGATCTGATGTGAAACTCTATGAACAGTCTAAATTTGAGAAACAATTGGAGATCATTCCGTCAGAATGCAATCGGTTATTCCAAATGAAACTGCTAATAGAGAATATAACGAGCGAACCTCTTGTGAAGCAATTCGGTGTCATCGAGAAATCATCAATAGCGAAACTTATCGATGAATCGAATATTTTACTGACACTCATCTTCAAATAATATTCTCCTTTCTGTTCAGGCAAATCCACCGATACTTTCATCCACTCACAATAGTAACTTTGATCACCAAATGTGGAACTTGACGGAGGCGTCCAAATGATTTTTGATGGTTGTCCATTAAGAGGTTGCACGATCAATTGGAGTGTTGATATGGCACTACCGTACGAGCAGTAATAGAAACGTACCTGAATTCTTTGAGATCCCAATTTGTTTTCCGTATGAGGTGAAGAGCTCAAGACTACGACAATAGCCATGAAGGATCCGAGGATCCTGATTACAATGGATAATATGTGTTAATTAGGGTTCAATTTATTGCAGCGCATCGCAAGTCTGATTCTGTTTGAAAATTTCATGGAAATGGGAGAGGTCGGGTAGCAGCTGGAGCTTCATGACCTTTGCATTTAGGACTTCTTTAAGTTCATCTCAACGCTTTGACTTTATTCAAGTGCATCGCAACACTAAAGCATAAATCTCATGCAACA